TTTGAAAACAAAACAAAACAAAACAAAACATTTGCCAAAAAATGTCTGAGAGTTATCATGTACACAGAAGGGGAAATGAATATGTACCTTTGGTGGGTCCTGCTGCGTGGACAGGGTGCCTCATTTCTTATAGGTTCTCTTAGATGTTCTCTTATAGAGAACATCTATACCAACCTACATCACACCCTTGGTGCCTGGTAATTGCCTGCTGCTCTCAATCTCCTCACTAAACAAGAGGTAGGGTAAAGCAGTTTATTCCCTCTTGCAATCTTCCTAAGGGCTAGCTGTGTGTAAACTGGCATTTACTGTACAGTATGTGGCCCTCATTTACTCCCTTTTATGTTGTTTTCCCACCCACACCCTGCAATGTTAAACTGCTTACCTAATGCTACACTTGTTTAGGAAACTACCCAGGGAAATACGTTCCCGTTTATTTGTAATCTAGGAGGACAAAGACAAGTGCTTCAGATGGGACTTTTGCAGTTAGTTTGGCATAAATTTGCAGAAGGTTAACTAGCTGGGTCTGCCCCTGTCGGTGTTTGCCAACAGTAGCAACATGAGCTGAGGGAGAGCCCCCCCTCTCTGTATATAGAATAAGGTATAGCCGTCCCCTCTCATGTACCACTCACAAATTGTGAGTATTATACAAAGGCGTACAGTCCTGCACAGATCTTTAGGATAGAAAAATACATGCGAAAATACAATAATTTAATAAAGTGTTAGAACAAATAGACTAAAAAACCTATACAGCACGCAGCAGTGCAATAGATAATGAAAGAAACTTCTAGGCTTCTTTTAAAATGTGCAGGTTCTCTGGCACAATGTGGGGCAGAGCTGATCCATCCTGGTGGTTTGGGAGGCAGCTCACTAGAGGTCCATCACAAAATTGTGCCACTCATCTTATTGTTGAAGTCTTTGCCCAATAGTTTAGGTGTCAGAAAGAGTGAAAAAGCAAGTGAGATTTCAACATATTGTGGTGGTTTTCAGGGGATTCTTTTAATGTAAGACACGCAAAAAAGGCTTGGTAGGATGAAACAGAGATAGGAGACTGTGTCCCAGTTTTATGATGTACAGTATCTAACAAATTCCTGTGAGTTAGAATCAGTGAATAATGCATAATAAATGCATGATTTAACACAATATGTTATTCGAGAGGGAAGCTTTAAGAATATAATTATTATTCTAGGTAGCACCATAAAACCAAACAAACAAATGAAAAAACACCCCCAAAAATATGGTGGACCATGGAAGATCAGCAACATGCTACTGAAAGTCTTTGTTATCTTTATAGGTGGGGAAGGTTCAGAATTTGTTTTTCTTGAAGTAGTTAAAAACAAGGAAAATCTATTTCTGACATATTCTGAAAAAGAAAATTAAAAACCTTGAAAGTATGGTTCAAAGCTGAGAAAGATTTATTTTTTTTTTGAATTCCAATGTTCTTTTAAAAAATATTAAGTGTAATTTCTATTTAAGGATTACTAGCAGTGACAGATAATGATATCCATTTAGAATAACTGTCTTTTAGTTCAGTGTCTTCCATTTACGTTGTAATGCTCAGACTGTCAATATTATTTCATTACAACATAAATAGGAGACATGAGTATTATAGTTGTTTTGGTACTAGATAGCAGGAGTCTTCATAGATATGACAGTAAAATTAAACCATTTTACAACTGTCATACTATATAGGTAGTAGTAGTGCACACACCATGTACTATAGCTATGAACATGTGAAGACATCATGTAAAAAGGTTTGTGTAAAACTTAGCCATTAAAATAATATTTTAAATTAGCCTTTAAAATAACATTCTCATTTTAAAGTGTGTCTAATAGTTGCATTTAGGAATAGCTTAGTCATAAGAAGTTTTGTGGAAAAAATATTTTTTTTTCCTAGCACTTTATCAGCAGCAATTTTTGATAAAAAGTGAACCCACCAGTTCTATCTGTGTGTGTGTTTTGAAAGGAACGTGCAGTTTACCTGATTTTACAGGCTTCCTCCCCAAGCAGCCCCAGCTGAATTGTGTATGAAAGGTTGCTGTCTCTGGTTACTGCCTTACGGACCATGAGGGGTGCTCTGGTTGTCTCAGCAGAGAGGCTTCCCCTACAACTTGTAGGTTTGCCTATGGAAAAAGGCTGAGGAAAATGCATGCACCTAGCACAGATTTTAGGCTTCTCCTGGGCATCAGTCAGGTGTCAGTGAGCCCTAGGAAGGAATAAATGGGTTGCCATAACTCTTTTTGTCCAGGTCCTAACACGGTTTTACAAAACCAAAAATCAGACCCTATCTGTGCCCACTATTTGTGTTTCACCTGTAAGACCACAGCACTATTTAAACCTCTCTGGGTGCCGGACCATTGCTGGTAGCTGCTCTTAATCACTTGTTGTCTTCGGTTATTTCACACTGAAAAAAAAAAAAAAAAGCTTAAAATGATGACTTCTATAAAGACAGTGTATCTAGTATTTAAATTAGTGGTTTTATTTATTTATTTATTTGTTTGTTTGTTTATTTTTAATTTCTAAAGGAAGTGCAAATCGTTGTGTGGCCAAATTACACCTACAGGCTGACAGTGGGCTTGTCTGTTGTGGTTACCTTTATCAGACCTCCCTTAGAAGTAAGCCACGGAGCAATAATCTGCAAAATGAGGTAAAAAACAACACCTCACCCTAATGAGACCTTACTGGAGACACAGGATACTCAGGGGTGCCCATCTTAAGCAAAACTAGATTGCTGGCAAGTTACATTCAGCACAGAAATATTACTTGTCCCATGAATTATTTAGAGTACATACTGTCTTTTCAGTATAGATATGCACAGATCTGAACTAAACAGAGCTTCAGTCACTAGGGCTTGAAAGTAACACAATGATGCAAATGTTAAGCAGTAATCATAAGGCTCTAACTACAAGTGGCTTCCCATTTGCTAGATGCTGGTATTCAAACCTTCTGTTCCCAGTGAACACACTGGGCACAATGCGACAGTGCCTCACAACACAGAGCGAAAGGTGAGCTGAGATTTGCTAGGTATGTAATGAAACAGGGAAGTGGATGAATTTCAAGTGCAACCAATAAAAACAAGCTGCTTGTGTAAGTATTTTGAATATATTCAGTGCTAACAAGATGAGAAATGGCATAAATCAAAAGTTAGCCATTGCAGAACAAAACCTGCTGCGGACAGAGTAACTGTGACTGTATAGGCAAAATTGAATTCAGTTCCAGGAAAAATGTGCACCAAACATAGCTGTCTTGACAACCCCATTCAAAGAGCTACTCAAGATGGGAGCTTTATGGAGCTGTGAATAAAAAGCCTTCTGAAACCATAAAAGCATCACTCTGAATCTAAGGTGAAAAAGCTCTAAATTACTGCGACATGTCACAACCTGTCAATTTATTAGCAGATGCTTCTAAATCAGGATTGGGAACAAAATATTAAAACCTTCAAAAGTGGCATAATGGAATGGTTCTGAAAAGGGAGATAAAATGTACACCAGAGGGCTGGGGTTTCTAGGACTTTCGCTAATGAACTTCAGAAGGATGCAGACAATAAATCAGATCACAAGCAGCTGATGCCAATTTTTAAAAACAGCACTTGATGTTAGGCATATGGGACTAGGAAAACTTTTGCAGTGACTTTCTGTGGAAACATTTTAGTCAGGAATAGCAAAGCAAAAGAATGGGGAGCTGCTTCTGCTCTACCTTCCTTTTGTTCAGAAATTGCAGAATGCCGTCATTAAATCAGAATTTTCCTTTCCCACAGGGGTATGTTAATATTTTACTTCCAAGGCCATGCCTGATGGCAACAGGCAGCCTTTGTGGTAAGGTATGGGGTCACAGCAGGCAGGAGGGTACTGCAAGCTGCCTGGGAGCAGTGCTGCAGGCTGGAGCCTTGCCGTGGGGCTGCTGCATGAGCCCAGGGCCATGGAGCTCTTTGGAAAGGTGTGGAAAAAGAGCTGGCTGCACACACAGTGCCTGGGTAAGCAAGGGTGGGTTGCAGAGGCTGTGCCAGTCTCTCACATGGGCAGTGGTCACAGCTAGAGGGAGGGGATGGAGGGAGTGATTGCCCTAAATGCTGCATCTGTCCTCAGGTGATGTGAGAATGTGGCTAAAAGGGTTTCCGTGGGGCTGGAGGCTACTTACTTCTCCTGCTGACACTCTTCCACTTTGCTGACATGCTTTGGTCCGTGCTGCACCCATGTGTGTCCCCTCTCCGGCAAATGCCCTAAGCCCTTCACTAAAGAGTTATTCTCATGCTCTCTGACTCAGTGGATATTCAAGCATTGCAAGCAAAGTGGAACAGATCCAAAAGGAGAGACTGAGGCAAAATGACCTCATAAGGCAATCTTCTTGCATTTAGGGCACACTGAGGCTGTGGTTCAGTGATACAGTGCTCCTCCTATAGGATCAAATGCAGCCCGGATGGATTTGTATTCCAACTGCTGACACTGGTTTTGTGCTGGTTCCAAAAATGTTGATGGGCTATCTTCAACACCCAGCTTTATGCTGACAGAAACTGCTTGTTGTCTTGCAGCCAGCAAAAGGCCAGTGCAAGGGTAAAAGCAGCATAAAGACCAGCCACAAGGCAGGTTCAAGAGAAACAAACTTGTTTGCTCCCTTCTGACCTGGATCAGATTGGTGCTTGTGGTACATGTACAGATTTGTACAAATTTGTGGTTGATCGGTGAATGCAGGTGGGGGAGACGCATTCTCAAATCTTTGCTCTAGGAGTGACTGAGACAGAGAACAATTGCTGTAGACTGGATCGTTGAAGATACTTGCCCAGAGGGGTAGATCTTTTCTTTCTGACCCTGATCAAGTGACTATCAGTTTATTGAAAAATTGAAGAAATTACAACACACAGTCCTGAGAATATCTATTCCCTCTTCTGTGGGGAATCTTACTAAAGCTTGTTGAACTATTTCCTTGAAAAACAATTTTAACAGGAAAATGATTTTATCCCCCAAATCCCTTTCTGTCTTGTTCAAAATGCTTGTGTTTTTCTACAGAAATAGAAGAAAATTGGATATCCCAGACTCCGTCTTCTGCTGAGGACTCAGCTGAATCAAGCACTTTAGTTTGCATACTTCGTGCCCCTGACTGGATGTTCCATGCCAAGAGCTGCTTACTGTCTCCAGTGCTTGGAGAAAGCTCGCCCCCTTTCTCAAAGACTAAACCAAATATATTCTGTTCACTGTATGCTAATTAAGAAATAATGGACGCAGCAAAAGGGCATTTCCTGGGGATTAATGACTGGCTGGGTGAGTGGATGGCCTGAGACTTTTAATTAGAAGTGCAAGCTTCCTCTGTTCTGTCACAGGAACTTCCATTTAAATTAGGTTCTATTGAATTCAGAGGTTTTTCATGGCACTGAGTTCACCAGTGCTGACAGGTCCGTGCCCCCCCAGTTTAATGGGTGGCAAAGCACACTAGAAAGATAGCTTTCAACTGTCTCATGGCTGTGAGAGTATTGCTTCTACGAGTGTGTCCAAAGATGCCCATTTGTTCTGCTGGGGCCTTCAAAAATTTTTCACTGGTTCACCTGTGGTAGTGAAAGAGTTGTTTTCAAAGTTGTGGATGTGGGAGGTCATGTCAGAGGATCCTGTCCATTGGGAGTCTATGCTGAACCCCTTCACAGCCCATCACCTATGTAGAGATGGGGAAGGGGGGGGGGAGCGGGTAGGAGGTGGATTTGTGGAAGGAATGAGAAAAAGAAAGTATATGGAAACCAGGGATGTGTCTTGCCAAACAAAAATAGGAGAAGCTTCTTTATGTGCTGAGTGGGCCATGGCAATGGCAATGGCATAAACCTAAGATAAGTAAAACTCCTTGAGTTTGGTTCCTTAAAAGCAAAAGAAAAGCAAAAGAAAACACAACTGTTATGCGTTTTTGCTGTTGAAAATCCAAGATCTTTGCCTTGCCTGAGCAGAGGTTATGCTATATGCGACCTTTGTTCCAATCAAAGAGTAAAGCCCCAAGGCTTTAAAGAGCTGCTGCCAAAGGCAGCATCTGTGTAGCTCGGTCAGGTCTGGGCAGGAGACCTGTTGGTCACAGCAGACCTGAGCTGGACCCAAGGCAGAACTCTGGAGTTACCTCTGTTGGGTGTGGAAGTGCCCAAACATCTCCAACACATGCCTGCCTGTCATTGCTGAGCTGGGACGTTATTTTCATCTTCAGCTCTTCCAGAGCTTGTGCTCTATCTCCCTTTAGTACTCATTAGCAAAACAAAAGCAGGATCAGGCCCTAAATTTATGGAAATTAAATGCTGTCAAATCTGTTTAACTCCTCTAGGACTTTTTCACAACTTTATTATAGTTGCATCAGAGGCTGATTTGTTAGGAAATAGTAACATATTTTCTGCTCCCCCTCTCATAGCACTACTGTACAGAAACTGCTCTGACAGGGAACAAAAATCTCAGGCTGAATCAAGAAAACAAGTCATCGTGCATTTAGACTGCTAAAATACATTATTGGAAATAAATTCAGTGTTATGCTGAAAGTCAGCAATGAAATCTCATTGAAGATGGTGGGTGAGAAAGCCTCCCTTCCCTAAGGAAAAGCCTAAAAATTGCCTTTTTTATGGAACATGCTCACTGAAACCCCAGGAGCCACACATACCTACCACACCGCACACGCCTGGCAGCTCTGAGAGGTGGGGGCTGAGGCATTTCTCCAGGATCTGGCTCTAGGGACAAGGTGGCATATGATGAAACTGAGCAGTTCAGAAAGCGACAGCAGAAACATCAGAGAAGCAGACAGAAGAAGTTGCAAGGACACACCAGAGCCAGCGAGGAAAATCCTTGTGGCCTGACCCTGAGAAAAAGCTAAAAGTGAGCAAGCTTGGGTTCTGGCTCAAAAGAAGCTTGGAAGTGTGAAAAGGGAAAGCACCGCCTTTTGTTTTGACTCCTGCTGTGCCCAGAGTAACAGGACATTGTGTACATTCTTGCTAAATAAACAGAAGCATATTAACAAACACAATTCACTCTCATCCGTTTGGTCTCCAAAAAGAAGCAACCTGTAGGGACCCCGAATATTGGAATATTGGCTAACCACCCGGTCAAAGAGGGTGATGTTAATAAAGGGAACTTTCTCCTCGGATCCGACCTTGCCTATTCCTGCTTCTAGTAAAAGATTTTAGTCCTGGTCTGTGATGATATTGTCATTAGCATTGTCATAGCAACTGATAAACAAGGAGAAAGTGATGTGCAACAACTTTTTTTTTTCCTTTTTCCTTTTTTTTTTTTTTTTTTTTTTTTTTTTGTTAAACAGGCAGTCCAAATGTCTTACTAACAAGTAATTTGGTGACAGAATTCAGCAAAGCGCTCGCACAGTAAACGGGCTTATCTTTAAACATAATGCTCTTTTCCATTTTAACTGAGCATAAAATTGTATCTGTAAAGGATCGGCGAACAGGCAGGGCTTCATGCCTCTTGAGCAGATCCATGTGACATATGGTCTTTCCAAGCAAGTTTTATCGGCTGTGCACAGTAGCAGCAGATCTGAGCTAATGTTCCTGTGAAAACAAGTGAGGGTTTATCCAAAACTGAAGAAGGGGCGGAGAAATGCACCTTTGCCCTGCCGTATAGATGTAAAAAAATTAAAAAAAATACAAAAAAAATAAAGTATCTTACGTCAAACTTATGACATACCTCTATAAATATAGCTGCTACTGGTAGTGACTAACTCCAGCACACACGCAGAGCAAGGATGAAGGTGACTCAGTGCCCTGTTCAGTTCCCTGCCCACCAGTGATGCCCCAGACATACTTTGGCTGTAGGTCACCCTGAAGCCCTGCATGGATTAGGATGGCTAATGGGGCCAGGGGGCATCACTGCCCAGAGGGGCTTGCCCCCAGCCTGTTCCCAACACAGTTGCTGTAACAAGCACAGCGCACCTGTTGCTTCTTTCTAGATGGGTTGCACAAAGTGCTGAAGAGCACCTGGCCTTCCTGCTCCCAAACAGCCTGCTTCATGCTGGGAAAATGGCCGAGGACTCTTTACTTAGCAGCAGTGAAAGGCAGGATGAGCCTCGTACACAAATACACACATCTTGTGTCCATTTTAGCACAGAGATCAGGCCGAATAATGGCCTGAAATTATTTTCAAGCTCACCGTAACCTCAGCTGGGGACTCCTGCCACTGACTAGTACCAGAAATAAGCCCCATAAATGAATTGGTGCTGGTATTACAAATAGAAGAATAAGGCAAGAATTAATGGATTGTAGAACAGTTCTGCTTCGAAAGGATTTTGCTATAGTGATTGTACACATACAGAACAGAAATAAACAAACATATGCTCATATGGTTATATTCCTGCATACACTTACACACACACACATTTATATTTATATTTACATTTAGGTATGCATATGTATAAATGCATTAAATAACAGGTAACATAGCAGGGAAAGCTAAATTGTAAAGGAACAAAGTTGGAAAAAAATTACATGTGGCTCCAGTTCTCCACAGAAGGCACGTGTTCAGAAAAGCTTTCAGTGTGCTTGAATGGCACTAAGATGCTTTTTTTAGTTATGAGTGATTTTTCTTTCATTCTTTCAACAGTTTAATATTTTGTAGGTTGAGTTCCTCAAGGTCTTCTCATCAGCAAGAATGAAATCCCTCCATTTTGAAGTCTTTCATGGGCACTTATCTCTCCCCTGCTGTCTGTGCCTTCCTCCTATCCCCAAGCATAAGTGCCAATTTTACCTCAAATTCTTTATGAAGTTCAGTGAGATTTTTGTTCTAGGTGGAGCTGAGATTTATGTAAAGCATTTGTGCAAGGTTTTTTTTTGGAATTGACATGAGGCTGAACATGAAGGACAGAGCCAGAACCCATCTATTTACTATTAGCAGCAGATTGAAATGAACTTGCAGACAAATTGAACAGTTGCACCAACATTTCAGTTTTAGACAACTGTGATTCCACCGGGGTAATATGGAGAAAGATACCAGTCTAGGGAAACATCTGGGTCAGAACAGAGGCATTAACAGTGCAGCCTGTGGATTGTCCCAAATCCTAAAATTGTAAGGGAATTTGCAGGTGAGATACATATTTGTTTTGTGGTGTGCCACTTCACTTAGGAATAGCATCTGCCTGTATTAAAACTACACAATGGAGAGTAGGAAATGAATCTTTTGGAATCTATACAGATACAGAAGAAGCAGGCAGATGCCAAGAAGAAAAGCACACAGGTAGTGATGGGCAGCTGCCCTGAGGAACTGGGAAGAAACTGCATCTCCTCAAAGCGTCTTTTCATCTCTGACTTTCTTTTGGGACAGGGGAACCAAGCAGAGTCACTAACTCCAGGATGGTAAAAACAGCCATGAACAAATAATTAATAAGTTTTTAATAAACAAATATTAACTGCATGCTAACATAAAACACTGTGGTATAAATATAGCACACAAAATACTCTGCAACAAAGAAAGAAGTGCAAGGTGCTGCACCTGGATCGGGGCAATCCCAGACATGAGCACAGAGTGGGAGAAGAACTCACTGAGAGCAGCCCAGCAGAGAAGGACCTGGGGGTTCTGGTGGACAAAAAGCTTCACACAAGCCAGCAGTGTGCACTTGAAGCCCAGAAGACCAACTGCATACTGGGCTGCATCAACTGAGGGGTGGCCAGCAGGGGAGGGAAGTGGTTGTGCCCCTCTGCTCTGCTCTTGTGAGGCCCCACTTGGAGTGCTGCATCCAGGTCTGGGGCCCCCAGCACAAGAAGGATGTGGGGCTGTTAGAGAGGGTCCAGAGGAGGGCCAAAAAGTTAATCAGAGGGCTGGAGCACCTCTCCTGTGAAGAAAGGCTGAGAGATCTGGGGCTGTTCAGCCTGCAGAAGAGAAGGCTCTGGGACGACATCACTGCAGCTTTTCATTACTTAGGAGGGGCTTAAAAAAAGATGGAGAATGACTTTTTACATAGGCAGATAGTGATAGAAAAAGGGGAATGGTTTTAAACCAAAAGAGGGCAGATTTAAATTATCGGTTAGAAGTAAATTCTTCACTCAGAGGGTGGTGAGGCCCTGGCACAGGCTGCCCAGAGCAGCTGTGGATGCCCCATCCCTGGAGGTGTTCAAGGCCAGGCTGGATGGGGCCTTGGGCAGCCTGGTCTGGTGGGTGGCATCCCTGCCCATGGCAGGGAGCTGGAACATAGATGGTCTTTAAGGTTCCTTCCAACCTGAACCATTCTATGATTCTATGAAGAAAGGTTTTGTGCTGACTCAGCAGAAGTAGGTAACAAATGCAGCTTTAAAAGTAGCTCTTTCTCAATAAAGGGTAATCGGTTCTTGCCATATCTCATTGTGTGAGATATACCAAAGACTTTATTCATTAGAGAGCACTCTGCAAAGTTGAAGTAAGAAACAGGAAAAATAAGGATGTCAATAGGGTTGTAAATTCAGCTTGTATGTCAAGGAAATGACAATAAACTGGCTCACTTTCTGAAAAAATCACTGGTAATATATGCCATTCCTAGAATAAAAGTAACAGACATTCAGTATATCAATAGCTACAAGGAATAGAGGAGGATGTCACTGTCACAGAATCACAGAACTGTTGAGGTGGAAAGGGACCTCTGGAGACCGTCAGGTCCAAAAACAAGGGTGACCCAAGCAGGTTGCTCAGGGCTGTGTTTATTCAGATTTTGAGCATCTCCAAGGATGGGGACCTCACACCCTCTCTGGGCAACTTGTTCCAGTGTTCTACCACCCTTGCAGTAAAATATTATTTTTGTTATATTTAAGAGGAATTTCCTGTATTTCAATTTGTTCCCGTTACCTTCTGTCCTTTCAGTGGGCACCACTGAGAAGAGTCTGGCTCCAGGCTTCATACTGTCCACCATCAGGTGTTTATACACACTGATAAAATCCTCCAGAGCCTTCTCTTCTCCAAGCCATACAGTCCCAGCTTTCTCAGCCTCTCCTTGTAGGTGAGATGCTCCAGGCCTTTAATCATCCTTCTGGCCCCTCACTGGACCTACACCAGTATGTCCAAATCTCTGTTGTACTGAAGAGCCCAGGGATGGGCCCAGCACTCCAGGTGTGTTTCACTGGGATTGAGCAGAGGGGTAGGATCCCTCCCATGCCCTGCTGGGAGGGATCCCTCCATGCCTCATGTAGCCCAGGAGGCTGTTGACCTTCTTTTCCACAAGGGTACATTGCTCCTGGAAAACTTGTCATTCATTGGGAACTCCAGGGCATTTCCTACAGTGCTTCTGTCCATCCAGCCAGACCCAGCCTGCCTTGGTACATGGAATTATTCTTCCCCTGGGGCAAGACTTGACATTTCCCTTTATTTAATTTCATGAGACTCCTGTTGGCCTAGTTCTCCACTGTGTCAAGTTCCCTTTGACTGGAGGCACAAGCATCTGGTCTGGCAACCACTTTTCCCAGTTTTATAGCATCTGCAAATTTGCAGAGGATTCACTCTGATGCACTGCCCATGTCATTAATGAAGGTGTTTAAAAGTACTGGCACCAGTATCTTCCCTTGAGGTTCACAACTAGTGACTGGCCTCCAGCTGGGCTTCGTGCCACTGATTACAACCCTTTGAGCCTGGAAGTTCAGCCATTTTACAGTCCATCTCACTGGCCATCCATTTAGTCTGTAATTCATCAATTTGTTGGATGTTATCTGAGTGATGATATGGGAGACAGCAGAGGAAATCTTGCCAAAGGTAAATCACATCCACTGCTCTTCCCTCATACACCAAGCCTATGACCTCATTGCTGAAGTCTAACAGATTGGTCAAGCATGAGACAACTTCAGTTTACATCTTACTGGCTAGATTGTAGAGAGCTGAATAACTTGTGCCACTCTAGTGGCTCTGCTTGACATGGGCCTGAATGCCAGAATCTAGACTACTGTTCCTTCTACCTTTCCAATCTTTTCTGGAGCTGAATATCAACTTCCCGAGTCTCAATTAGACAGGGAGGGGTAGAAGCATCCACTCTATTGTCTACTTCTTGTTATCTTTGCAGTAGCTGTC